TGGTGGCTGATGACATTCCTCCCAGTCCTCACCTTTTTAAAATGGGATCCCAGGAATGCAACATTGATGTTCATTTTCTTAGTAATTTTTACTATGGATTTTTATAAGTTTTCTCTGAGCTACATTTATGTTTTGGTTCACTACTAGCTTGAAACCGGACTTTCTTAAGCTCTCCTGAAGTAACCAAAGTTTTTCCCTGGAATGCATTAGCTAGCCTTAATTTCCCTGGAGTGCATGCAGCCTTGCCCTTCAGGTCCCCCAGCTGTGTTGGTGACAATTCTGTCACCAGAAGGAGCTATGGCCTGCCCTCTGCTGATGGGATGTGCTACAAGAGCAGATGGGTGTAAGGCTGCCTGCAGTTGTGGCAGAAGAGGTTTGGCTGTTCAAGGTGCTGGATAACAAATGGTACCAATCTCCTCCAAGGGAAGAGGAAAAATGTGCTGGGCCAGATGCAACTGAGCCATGGCTTGAGATCAGGCTCTGGACCACCCTGCCCGTAAAGTGGTGCCCTCCCAGGCTGAAGCAGGCTCAGTTCACGCTTCTCAGAGCTGCTGGCTTGTGTTGCTGCCTGATTCCAAGAGTGACTTTTCTAAGAATGAAACAAAAAAAATATTAAGATTTTTAGTCCAGAAGTCTTTAAGTGGCATAAGCCACAGTTGTGCAGCTGGTAATTACCACCACCCAGGGGAGCCTAGGAAGATGCCTTTCTTTTTTCTAACTACTACAAAGCCTTTCAATTTGATTAATTCTTTCCTTAATGCATTTCCTTGTAATTTGTATTTGTGAAGATGCCAATGGTAAATTAGACAATCTTTCCTGTGAAAAATACATTCTGTACTCTCTATAAGCTTAGTCTCTGGTGGCATCTGTGCATTCTTCATCACCCATCCAGGAGATGCTTTCAAAGCCAGGTGCTGATCCTGTCCTTTCTTTCAGTTCAAAGATGTTGCTTGAAGCAGAACTGACAAGTACCTGTAACACAGGTACAATGGACAAAAGTGTCGTCCGTTTCTCTGTGCTGCAATGGTTTGGGTCAGAACAGACTGAAACACATTTGCTACCTGGAGCTGTTTCATTTCCTTTGAATTGTGCATATTATTCCAGCCAGGGAAGTCAGATGCCAAGGAGGTCAAGGGCACCACAGCCTCCTACAGTAATGGCACAAGTTGGCCTGATAGGGTGAGTGGGATCTCTTACCATGATTTGAGCACTGGCTGCTGTGTCACTATCTCATGTGACATTGCAAGGCCGTCAGATGAGTGTTGGGGGTGGGGTATAATAATTAAAAATATGTTTCTCCTCAAAGCCAGAAATCCTAGCATTGTTAAGCAGAAAAATATTTAGTGTGAAGGCAGAATTATCCTGCCTATCATTGTCCATGTCCCAGCTCTGCTCAGAGAGGCCAGGCTGCTCTCCCTGGGAACACAGCTTGCAAGGTGATCTAACTTCATTGCTGGGCACCATTTCAAACTAAAGATGGACTGTGAGGGTGAGTAGATGGTCTGTAATGCTGTAATGGCCCCTGTGTACACCTGGGTCACATGAACTAAAAGAGCTTTGATGCGCACTGAAAAATAACCATTCCCAACAGAGCCAAAGGGGTGGCATCAGAAAACTTGTTCCAAGATTTATTTTTTTTTTATATTTTTTTTCTGGAGGAGGGAGAAAACAAGAGGGAGGCAGAGGAGTCTAAGGGGTAGGCACACATGGGACTCATGGCCTTGCCCCATGGAGAGAGGGCAGGACCCTAATGGAGCTGGGCAGTGGCTACTCCTGCAAGTTCCCTCCTTCCCAGAACCCTGCCTGCACTTTGCTTGTTGGTGCTTTCCCAGTCGAAGGCTGTTGGGAATTACTGTAAGATCATCAGAAACAATAAATCCATATTCTGGCTCTTAAGAGTAGCTTCCAGAATGTAGGGACTTTTTACCCAAGTTTTGCTATTTATTAAAAAGCTCCCCCATGGTCTCTTCTCTCCTTTTTGGCAAGAGAATTGAGCATTAAATCAATCAAGCTCATTTGTCTCAGCTCAATGATAACAACAAGATGCTGATTTCAAGAGCAAGATCCTGGATCGGTGTTTGTGCTTCAGAGAGACATTGCCCTCTAGTGCCTAAAAGGCAGGCTGTGTAAAAAGACAAAACATCACGAGTTTTGTACAGTTTTATATGTCAGAGCAACACATTCAACTGAAATTTCTGACAAACGGAGCAATGCTGACTGTGGCAAGGGCTGAGAATACAGCAAATACTCATGAAAGCAATGAAAAAGAGAGGGAGAGAAAATGGTCATCACATTCCTTCCAGACATTCTGAACAAAGAACTTTTGATTAAACTTACTTCAAGAAAGTCTGTATTTGTCCAGATGCTCACTTTTTAAAAAGAAAAATTATAAATATGAAACATAAAACTTCTTCTGTAGCCAAAACACCATGTGATATCTCTTTTTGGAGGAAAATCTTGGGATGAGGCCATGATTTTGCAATCAGGCATGGTGTATAAGTGAAAAGCTATTTGCAGAAAGTTTACTGTGGTAAGAAATGTGACAAATATATTTGGCAAGTTTGGTTTTTTTAATAAGAGGCCTCCTGCACAACTCTCCCACAAGCACAAAAAACTGCCTCACAACAAAACCCCACGCACCCAAGCAGACCTGCACGAGATGATGTAAGACAGTATCTCAAAGATGTCTCTGAAAGGAATTAATTCTTGAATTCAACTGCTTCCATGAACACATTAGTCCTTTCCTCAAAGCCCTTTCCCTTTGCCAGCATCCAGCTGTATCACATCTTGCTGTTCTGGAGCAAAAGCTGCAGGACTGTTCCTGTATCTTTGTGGTCAGTAGTAATGTACCTTCCATGTTTCAGTGGTGGTAAGGGTACTTTCTGCAGCAGCTTATGCTAGCTGATGCATTTGCTTGTGTAAACAAGAAGAAAATAGAGTAAAAACTGATCAGAGTTGGCTCAAAGCAGGGGTTCATCGTTCTGTGGTTATTTCCTGGCTTTGCTGAGTCATTCCTGGCTGTAAGAGGCTGCCACTCTGGCAGAGCAGCGGAACATTCCATGTCACGGCCGTGCAGCACACGGTGCATGCCCATGGCTTTGCTTCACAGCAGGCTGTGAACCTCAGGAGCTGAGGACTCTGGTACACAGCTGCATCCAAGTTAAGATGTCACCACCGAAACATTTCTTTTTCACCCAGCTATAAAGAGAGGAATTCTTCAACAGCAACAACTAAATCCCTAAAGAACCATATATCAGAGCAGTAAAATATCAAATATCAAATTTGGGATTAACAGCTCTGAATGTTTTGCACTGTCCTTGAACAGTTTGAATTGTTTTTGCCCTCCTCTAACTTCAGAAGCCAGCCCTTCAACCATAAGACAAAATCAAGATGAAACAGGAGACATTACTTCATTGCCACAGCTGTCTGACTCTGCCTGGCAGATTGGCATCTCCTTGCGCTTTACTGGAACAGCTCAGCTCACAGGAAACAGGAAAGCCACACTTGAACAGGAGGTGTCATCATGAAACTGACACTTGTGTCCCATTTAGGGAGCCTGGAGAACAAAGGTTTAGCAAGAGAAGTTAACTGTTTGAAACAGCTCCACACAACGCAGTTACCCACGTGGAAAGGCGACCTGGAAGGTATTCCGAGGATCGGAGCAATGCGGTGCCAGTTTACATGGTGGGATCAGGTCTGTACGTGGTGAGATCTGACGCAGGAGACACAGGACCATGACCAGACCAGGACCACACAGCTGGGATCTTTTCTGACCCGTATCTGCTCAAAAGACTGTAGAAGACAGCCTGCTCCAGAGGCAGAGGCTGTGCTGGAGTACCACAGTCTGCCACGATGGGGAGATGCCGCGCCACGGATGCGCCTCATGCAGCTCCCTGGAGCATGGGATGCAAATCCCATTCTGCCAGCCCCCTTGGCAAAGGACTTGTTTACTTTCCTGCACAGATGTGACAAAAAAACCCCACCAAACCAAATCCAAAATCCCCCCTATCTTGGTTTAGTTTCAGCGATTTAGTAACATTAAACCCAACATTCTTTATATTAATTCTAAAGCTCTGTTTTGAAATACTAAAATTCATTTTGTTTTGAAATATCCACAAAATTAAAAGCACTGGGGGTCTTGGAGCTAAGAGCCTTTGAAAAATACTCTCCTTCTGCACTGCACCCAAAAATATGTTGGTGTAAATAACTAGGGAAGGACCTGCTCCCAGTCCAGTCTGCTGGATAGAGCCTGGGATAGGAGTGAAATCTGCTCTGTCAAAGCCCCCTGATTGTATGGCACTAACACAACTGGCAAAGGCAAACATGAAAAAGACATATTTGAAGCAATTGCAAGAAAAATGTAAGTGGAGGAGAGAAAAATGAAGAGGCAAAACCCACTGTTCCTCTTCTTGCTTCCACTGAGCTCTTCAACACTAGCAGCATGGTTAGATTCTTACTGGATTCCTACTGGAATAAGATCTCACTGAATTGAATTTCCTCTGAGAAAGCTTCCAGCTTCCAGAACACCTCGGAAATGTTCCTCTGCCCCTCTGCCTCTCTGCAGAGCTGGCCTGTGAGGTAAGCAGGCAATTAAACCCGCTGTCCTTGTGAGAAAGGCGACTGCGGCAACAATACACGTGCTAGGTTACAGAGGCAGCAGAGCGAGACTCCTTTGCGCTGCCTTTCAGCTTAGGTGCCACAAGACTGGAGACACAGAACAAGGCAGTTGCCTGCGACACACAAAGTTGGGTTTCACTGGCTGTAGCTTCCAGGCAGGCTGTCACTGTTGAAAGCAAATTAGATCAGCTGGGCATCAAGTGATACCTCCCATCAGTTTTCACCGCCCACCGCTGCCAGCTCCACACTTCTCTTTAGCGCTGCATGTGCCAACTGTCTCACAGAGCCAGCTGCAACATCTACTGGAAGGACACGGGGAGCAACCACAGGTGGGGAGAGGAGCTGGGGGATCCACTCGGGCTGGGGTGAGACCTTTGCCTGCCTTAGTCCAGGCAGAAAACAGGGTTCTCCAAGAAGACTGCCAGCTTGCTGGCCACCAGGTCCAGGTCACTGGTGTTGGCATATTTGAGCAGATTGGTGTTCTTGAGAAAGTAATGCTTGAGGAAGTGCTGGCTTACACACTTGTGCAGCTTCTGTACCAGCCTCAGAAAGGCTTCAGGGAAGCAGCGCCAATCCTTGGTGCGTGGGTATTTTTCACACGTCCAGAATAGCACTGTCTGCAAGAAGCAGATGGGAGAGAAGATGTGTTAGAGGTTCTGTTGAGGGCTCACACAGCTTACTAAGGCACTTTTAGTGCTGGTAAGTGGCTGACAGCCTTGGAAATCACAGAGACTCACGCTGCTACCTCCCTGTGTTAACGTTTCTGCAATGGAGGGATCCCAACTGACCAGGAAGAACAGCTTGCAGGTGCCTGGTTAGGATCTCTCCCCAGAAGTGCCACTCTCCACTGACTGAGCCAGGAGCCCAAGGAAAATGATCTCACTAAAATAACCTTGGCCTATTTGCCATCCTCCAGCAGAAGGCTCTGTAGAAATGCCAGGCATTTTAAGCTGTAGAAAATGACCTACTATGCAAGGGTAGAAGCCAGTAGATGCAAGGAGGGACAGAGCATAATGAGATCAACATAATTATTTGTTAGCTTCAGCTGTATTTGTGCTGTAGATACACAAAGATCTGCATCCTAAACAGACTGAGATTCCAAGAAGCTATTGCAGGTGCAAGGCTTGTCTTCTGGTCAAATGCTGCCTGGCTTTTTCTGACATGTCATACTTCATGTCTTATGTTCTATTCCTCCGAAATTACTTTATGCAGTTTAACATTTGAGAAATACATAGTTAAAATAACAAAATGCATATGATTGTTGCTCTTATAGTATTATTTTTACACTGCCTATGTTGCATTTTCTCAGACTTTCCCATGACTGAGAAGAATTTTCTCAAGGAACTTAGACTTACTGTGCCAAAAAAGCCATACTGACTGCCTTGGTCAGCCTGAAATAACTTTTTAAAATACAAAATCACCTATTTGGTGTTCAGTAATTCTGCTGAGTCCCTTAACTGTCCTCTGAATCCCAATTTTTTTTTGCGAATTCGGCTACCCAAAAAGAGACTCAGAGACATTTTGAGAGTGGCAGAACCACAGACTTCAACTTGTCTGTTTCTACAGAGGTAGAATTTCATCTATGGTTGTACTGCTGACAAATTTATTCTCAAACAGTTTTTCAAATGTGAAAAATTTTTTGTTCACAGCTGCAAAAACCACAAAGCCTTTTCTTGAATGTCACCAGGGAACAAAGACATAGTGAGGAATTCAAGCTATAACTCTTCTGAGAGCTGCTCCTTGAAGACTTGCAGAGCAGTTACCTTCTGACACACTAAAACTACTTCAGCAGGCAGCAGTTACAATGAAGTTTCCCGAGGCAAGGAAAACAGTGCTGCTTTTTCAGTCAGGTGCCCAAACAAGTGATTTATCCCCAGCACTTATGTCCCTAACTGCCAGCTCTCTACCAACAGCACAGAGTTGGCTTTCAGAATGTACCTAGATCTTTTTGAAATTCCAGATCTCAAACTTCATTCCTATGCAGGTAAGCAAAAGAAGGGCAGTTACATGGTCCTCTCTGGCTTTCAGAGCTTCTGGGATAAAGATTTCCTTTGTCATAGAGGATCTTGTTTAATCCTAATTGTCGGATACCTCTGACAGGGGGAACCTGAGAATGTGAAGAAACTTAACACTAAGCCTCTGTTCAACTGCTGGTTTAACCACTGACTGTTTCTCATTTTTCTTTCCTTTTTTTCCTATTTTTCTTTTTAATGTGAGTGATTTTGAAAAATTTTTCTGTCTGGTAAACCAATTCTCTCTTGCTGTAAAAGCCGGAACTATAGTTACAGTAAAGAACTGAAGAGCTTCTGAAGAGTTTCTTACTTTAATCAAGAGTCCATGCAACAGCACTTCCTGCACATCTGCTCCTTCAGCCAGGGAAAAACGTTGTTCCTAATGGTTAAATGGTTTTCCATTTTGTCTTACATATGACAGTTTTCCCACCAGGTTGTTCTTACAGGGACTGAGGAGGTTTGCATTCAGCTAAGCTACAACCAGCCTCATCTTTTTTTTTTTTTTTCCACTCCATCTTGACTTAGAGTAGTGCCATGACTGTAACAGCATTTGATGGTCACCAGCTTTTTCTTTAGGAGAAATCTTAGCATTGCATCTGGTTTTGGACACCAAAAGACCAGTAACTACTGTAGGAACCTAATGGCTTGAAGCTTCAAGGTGGGAAAAGTACAGCCTCTCCCTGGCAACTCCAGGAGGATGAAGTCTAACAAATGGTGCTGCCCATTGGTGTCTGCAGCTGTCAGATGTGGGGACACAGTCATAGCAGAGTCTTCTCTCTCTTCTTCACAAATATTGTCTGAAGCCATCTTGAACCCTGAAATAGGTGCAGGGAAGATGCCACCACCCCTTTAACTCTTTCTTTCCTCTCTACCCCAAGTGAAACACCACCAGAACTGTAGTTTGCACCTAATTCATTAATAATGCTCAACTAAGACAGTTTTGTTTGGTGCATATCCACAAAGAAAAAAATCACTGTCTTCCACCAGAGACAGAGATGGATATAGATGGCTGGGATAGTCAAGAAGCAGGAAGTAAGTGTGCAATTACAGACAACAGTACACTGGAAAGTCAAAACAGAGCAGGGGCCTCGACTCTATTTATGTTGCTGCAATCATAATGTTCCTAAAGGCCCTGGTTTCTTATTGAAGTTTGGAACACATATTTAGTGAACTCCTTGCTACCACAAAGCAATGAAAGGTACAGTAGTTTTGAGAGTTACCTCAGAAGTTACACAGATGCTACACTGACTTACACCACAACATTCTGACATTACTGGATGGAAGCCACTGCAACAGATCCCGTGACTCTGTGTAGGTATCAGGGCGATGCCTACCTGAAGGTGATAAGCTGTGATGACAGGCTTATTCCCAGCACACCAGACATCTTCCTTCATCTGCCTCATGACCCTGAAGCACTTCCTGCGACAACCACCATCTTCATCAAGTCCCTCCATGAGGATGTGCTCAGCACGGGAGAAGCACAGCTGCCAGTGGTAATTAGAGCGGGCTAGGAGGTCAAAACCCAGCGACTGTGGAACAACAGGGGAAGTGTGACAGCAGATCAGAGGCAAACTTCTCCCAGCAATGCAGACTGAGGTTAACAAAAGCATGTGTGACACCTCTCCAAGCCTACTCTAAACAGGGTTAGCAGGCAGCAAACATGAGGTGCGCTCCCATCTTAATTCTTAGTTGAGTAAACATGCATTTTGCATTGTTTCCTTGTGTGCTGGTATTGGTTAGTGCAGGGAGATCCTGTTCTAGAGCCATCAGGCACAGTACCAGCAGTGCCACTAAAGCAGAGGCGCATAAGAGGGGAGCAGGACTGGAAGGTGAAACGGGACCTGTAGGAACTTGGCAGATGGGCTGAGCTGAAGTGCCAGAATCCAGCCATGAGTGTTGTAGGGAAAGATGGGATTGAGCTGGAGGGAAAACTGCAAGGCAGCAGCCCATTTGCTGAAGTCTTGCATGAGGCAGAGCAAGAATGATGCACGTCAGAGCTGTGTGATGCAGGCAGAACTGTTTGCTAGAGACTCATGCAATAAAAAGTTAACTCAGATTTTTTCTATAGAATTCACCACTGTAAGGGGGGAAAACAAAATCCAAATAAATTCCAACAGAATATTTTGAGACATTGCTTCTCTCTTTAGAGAATATATCTTCTAACCTTACTGCCATCACCATGCAGTTCTTCCTTTGGTAAAACACTATCAGACACCTGAGAGATAGATTCCATTCCAGAGTTAAGGGTGTTTTTTACAGTGTTTACCTTGATGCATTGCACTTTTTCCTGAGAAGGCCAACGCTTAAGGCAACGAGGCCACCGGGCTTTCTCGGGCCAGCACGTTGGAATCTCCACAGCAGGGACCAGCTCCACCTCAACCTGGGATTCTGATGTCTCCACAGCCACCCGGACCACTGAGCTGAAGCTCTCCAGCACTGTCACTTTACCTGTGAAAGAACAACAAGAGAAGAAAATATAGATAAAAAGGTCCTTTTCCACAAGCCAAGCAAGAGGCTGTCTAGGACCTTGCAGCTCTATTGGTCTCTCTTAACACTTTCTCTTCAATAATACATGAAGAATGTAAGAAAAACCTAAATCTATGTAAGTCTATCCTGGGGAATGAGAACAGGAAGGTGAAAGAACAATGTTCTTAACTTTACACTCAATTATCATGGTTTTTTTTTTTTTTCCTTTGTGGATCCTCTTAAACCCTAGGATCAGGTTCTTAAAGCTAGACAAGTGGTGCAACCTAACATTTCTAATGGTACACTACAAGGAGATCACTGCAGATTGGAGAGGACCAGATGAACACTTCCTATCTAAGGATGTTCTTTTTCCTTCAGAGAACCTGAGATCAGACCCTTGCCAGATCACACTTACCACTGCCAGTCATTCAGAATGTTTTGTGGGGTATCTGTAAAGTTTGTTTCTAGAGACGCACTTGCACAGAATACCAGAATTTATGGTCTGTTGTGCAGAGCAGTCACACAGAAAAGGCTAACTGCTACATCACTGCGAGTGCTGAGTGTTAAGAAGAGTTAGTTCCACGGTGATTTGGAGGAAAGAAGTTTCCTCAGTGTGAAAGAAGAGTGGCTCATCTCCAGGAACAACATGATCTAAGAGTACAGAAAGGAAAGCAAGCTGCAACTAATGGACTTTGTGGGATGTTTCCTGTTGGTCCAGTTGAGTTCATGGAAGAAGTTTCTGTCCCAGTCACTGTGGCAGGATCATTGTCCCTTAAGCTCTGCCATCTGAGCCAATTGCGTGTTCATCCTCCAACTCAGTGAAGTGAAAGCCTGAGCAGATGAAGATAAGCAGTTTAAAGAGCAGTGTGTTATCCCACCTCATTTTGACTGGCATGGGCTCAGGAGCAATTCATGAGGTGAATGACCTTGCAAAGAGTAGAGTCCATCACAACCAGAACTTTATAAACCTCAGAAAATCTATGTGCTATTTCCTTGCTGAGCCAAGCCTGGCATCAAAACAGGAACTGTTCTATTCCCAAGCTCCTGACAAGGGTCCCTAGCATCTGAAAAGTGTTAGAGCAACCACCGTGTCAGCATGTAAATATGTTCATGGCATTTCCAAAAGCATTGCAATACTTATTCCTATTTTTCCACTAATGAAAAGTGAGACACCTCAAAAAATTATTTTGCTGGTGCTGAAAGAATGAAAAAACAGAGAAGTGAAGAAATCAGTGAAGTTTTTCTGTAACTTTAGCCACACTGTGGGATGAAGGAAGTCCATTCTTCACAGAAACAAACAAAAATGGTAATTGCTTCTCCTGACTTCATCTTAGCTTATCTCCTCCCAGCAGACCTTACAAAAAAGGCACCAGAATCATCAACCTAAACACCACTCTCTGGGGTCTCTGCAAGTACCTTTCCTGCAACACTCAACTTTTACTCAAGAACTTGATATGACTGCTGCCCAACACAAAAACTTTCACATAAGTAAAGCCTCAGAAGCAAGCCTGTTCCAGCTGCTCTTTCCAGCCTCAATGGTGAAATATCATTCCTATCCACCTTTCCATTCCTATGATAACAAGTATTTCCTGAAAAAAATGCCATTGTCTAGCAGAGCTTGACTTTAACATTTTTTTTTCCCTGTGACTACAATTAAGAGTGTGATCAGATGAGTGGAAATACCTTCTATTGCTCTGAAATACAGAAGACTCATTATGCTACTGATGAATAAAGTCATTCCTGGAAACATGCTGTGGGAAGAGGCACCACAGGAGTAGCTTGGACACTGGGAAAAAGAGCACTTATCCAACATACATTGCTTCAGTAGAAGTCCTTCTACTTAGTTTCCACCATTCCATGCTGGAAAGCTGTGGGCAGCTTTAGCTGGGCAGCCCAGAGCATTATCCGCCCTATAAATATCTTCAAACACGTTCTTCTCAGATGTACACATCTTTCCAGTATCCAATTTTCCTATACACCTTCCTTAATAATTTAAATATATTGCACGTGCTGTAGTAGAGAAGGATTGATTTTCCCAAACAAACTCCTAAAGGTTCTAAAAATCTGGGCTGCCTCTTAGTTGAACTGCAAGGGTGATGTTGCTGGAGACCCTACCCAAATTCCTAAGAAAGGAGTAACATCTTGGGTACAAAGAGCCCAAGAACTACTGAATTCTATCTTCAATGCAGGTCTGTGTCTGGCACTGCAATCACTTGAAGGCTTCCTGGTTTGGGAGAGTTTTGCTCAGCTTCTGACCACGCAAGCCAAACACTCTGTGTGTGTGTGGTTTCCCTCACACCTGTCCCCACCAAACTCACTGGAGAGGTTACAGGAGACAATCGACTTCTCCACCAGCTCCCGGAAGACGATAAGGACTTTAGCTGGAACCAGATCACCTTCGATGTTCACATCCTCTTCATGCCACTGCTGAAGGCTTTTTGAGAACTGCTCCACCTCCAGCCACTGATGCAATTCCTCAGGGTCCCGCACGGAGGAGAGGAGCTTGGCTCCATGCACGGTGTAATAGCGCCAGTGCCGCACCTGGCATTCCCTGTAACCGGTCAGGCCACGCAGAGGAACTGTGATGAGGAACTGGCTGGGTGCTAAGACCTGGGAGAGTTCAGAGAGATTGAGAGAGGAGACAAGGGCAGATCCATGAACTAAAGTAAGGAAAATAGGGTAGAGGAAGTACTAGGTAAAACTAGGGGTTTGGAAAAGAAGGACAAACCATGGTATGATGGGACTAACTGAACACAGCCAGGGTTACCTTGGAGGCATGCAGACTGAAAGGAAATTGTCTCAGAAGGTGTCTGATGTGAAGCTCTTAGAAGATAAGAGCTCACTGGCTGATTTGCCACCACACCTGCAATGCTTTCCCCCTTTTCTTGTTATTTCTAGTCTGTAATGCCATGAGATGTAATAACCAGCAGCTTCCAAGGAGCAGAAAGGCATGAGAGAAGATGCTTTGATATCCAGCCAAGGGAAACCCAAATAGTGCTAGCTATTATCTCAGAATTTTACTTGAGATAAGCCCAGAGTCCAATACTAGTAATAACTATGGCAAAAAGTGCACCTTTCTGATCTCTTTCAAATTCCACTACAGACAGTAGCAAAATAAGGCTATGGCCTGTTAATTTTACAAGTGTTTCACTCTGTTTGACTGACATTTAAAGGGACAGAGACATAAGGCAAGTGATATGCCTGAGCCTACAGAGGCAGTGTCACTCCCAGAATCAAGTCCAGGTATTGGCCAGCTGTAATGTATGGAACTGCATCTCTTGATGAGCATGACAGAAACAGTGTAAGGATGGAGGCAGCAATCAATAGACAAGGAAGCCTTAAAGAGGCTTGTTTGCAAGCCAGTTCATTTGCCTCACTTGGGGAACAACCATTTTCCAATAAAAAACAGTTCTGAGACAGTATTTGCAAGGAAAGAATGAGGTAATTCAAATACCACAAAACATCATCTGTCTGGCCCAGGGCATAGACAGACATGTCCAAGTGCTACTTTGGAAGCATCTGGCACTTGTGGTTCCAGAAGGGGTGTTAAAAGTCCTTCAGATTTTTACCATGTTGGTCTTAGGAGCTTTTCAAGTCCTCTTGCTACCAAGCCTAACTTACAGTGGCATAAGTAAGGTGAAGCTGCTGCATGAACAGGATGTGAAGTGACAGCCACTGCTGTGAGGTGGTTACACCCGTGGTGAACAAAACACGCTTGCCACTCTCCTGTAATAATCCAAAACACTCTGGTACCCTTCCTCAGCTCAGCTGATTTAAAGTATTAGCACAGAGGTGCCAGGGCCCTGAGGGCACTAACAAGCTTTATTGTCCCTAAGTAGCCTTTCTGGGACTTCTATCCACACCTTCTGCCCATGGGTCTGAGACCCCCATTTCAGGTTAGCCCTGGGCTCCAGTGAGTGGGGGAGTGGCGTGACCTCAGACCTGACTACCAGCAGACTTCCCTGATGATCCAGACTCTTGGCTGACCCAGCTGCCCTCCTTGTGTCTGTCTCACTTAGGGATCATAGGGCAAGAGCTGCCTTGCTACGCTCCCCTCCTGCCTCTCTCTCTCTCTCTCTCTCTCTCTCACAGGGAGCAGCTGGTCTTCTCTGCTCCCTGGCAAGAGATTTAGAAAATAAAAGATGGCCAGCCAGAAGAACAGAAATAACAAGGAAAACACCAGGATGCTGCTCTTTTGTCAAATATAAACCATAAAGACAGGAGGATGCTGAAAGGATGACACTGAAGATCAAGCTAACCTGCATACTTCAGGTTTGTTGGGGCTGAGAAATCCTGTGGGAAGCTCAGAAACAGGGTAGTAGGCTCCATAAGGAAAAAATACAACGGCTGTCATGCAGTTACTGCTCCTCTCACTGCCTCAGCCACATTTACAGGTAAACAACCAACCCAACCCAACCCAAAATGCTGTCTTGTGTGCGCTGGCACCCAATAGATTGCAAAGGGAAGAGCTGCACATGTTATGTGAGTGCCTACAAATGCAAGTCACAAGTGTTCTCCACCTGGGGCTTACCAGAAAACAACAGAATGCACAAGGCTGGGATTAGCACTGTAAAACTGGGCAGTTGGTGTCTTCTTAGCCTAAACAAATCCCAGTCCCCCACCTATGCTCTGTCACACAATGGTCTCACACACTATGTGTAGGCCATGGGCCCCAGAAAGTCACAGACTCGAGCAAGGCTCTCCAATACTGGAGCATGTAACTTGTGGCCAGTTCTGCTGTAGTAAAATCCTGTCTAGAGTATGCTGGGCAAATAAAATGCAACCTAATTCTTGTGAACCTGGCCAGGCTGTTCCAGGGAGACAGAAACATTAGGTTAGAAAGAAAATAATTATGCTTTGAGGAAAAAAAAAATCAAGTATCTTGTGCAGAGGACAAAACAGTCATGGAAGGATCAGTTTGGTGGGTGAAGTTGTCTGGAGAAGGGGGTGTGTGAGGAGGAAGCAAGCACAGGGATTGTCAGGCACCAGGAAGGCTTTGTACCTGGATGGATGGGTGGAATGGGCGCTTCCTCCGAAGCATAGCTGACCACTTGGCCAGTAAAGCTGGCTGATCCTGAGAGAAGCAGAAAGGAAGACAAGTACACAGAATAGAGAGAAAGCATGTCCTAGGTCATTCATTCACAGAGCAAAGCTGCAAGCTTCTCTGGATTCTTGGAGTTTGTTAAAAGAAAATCCCCCCATTGCCCTCACCTTGATTAAACACTTGGCAATGCCATTGGGCAGTGCACTACCAGTGATTAGTCTGGACCCCTTTATTATATCTTGTTATTCTGAATTTTCATTCAGGGTTTTCATTAAAGCATGACTTTTTGTTATGTGGGTCACAGGAAAACACTGAATACCTAAAGATTTTTCTTAACTATTCTCCACTCAGCCCTTCATATTTAGAAGGGAGCTTGAAGCTTCTCAACAAATCTAGATCTCTCACCATGTTAAATTGATTCCTTTTAGCCAGAAGCTGAAAGTTCTGAAAAATCCTGTAGATTTAGCCGACAGAAAAAAACATGTGAAATTAGACATGGAATAATGAATACATTGCCTTTCCCAGGACACAAGTCTCCTCTATGCTGAAGTATGTCAGCAACAGTATTAAGGTTTCCAAGTTTTTTAAGTAGACAGTCCAAACCAAAATAATTTCTCATCAACCCATTGTTTGGTGCCCCACAGATACAGGACAGGTAGGTCCTCCTAGTGTTACTTCCACAGATTTGTAACACTGGGTTCAGTTAAGCATGAACAACAGATCTGCACTTTTAAGGAAATAGATTTTGAGGATTTCTTTCAAGCAGAATTTGTTCAGATCTGCATACTATATCGATGCTCAATAGATTGCCCTGGTGGTTTTGTTCTGCTTTGCTTTCCAGAGCAACAATTTTACCCTGACCCTGATCCTGTCAGACCTCATTAGCCAGGCAGGTTTGTTCCAGCACAAGAGGTAGCTGGCAGAGTCTGGCACTAAGGAGCTCATGGACCACGATGTGGCACTGTTTTACGTCACTGTGGCCATCCTTATTGACAAGACCACATGCTCTGGGATACAAGAAATCCCAGAAAAGCTAGGAATCTGAATGTCTTTGTCCTAGGACAACAGCTACATTTCAGACTGGGTGATTATATTTTGCCTCCACCTCCATACCCTTCCAGCAGCTTCATACAAAGACTTCTTCCCTTTCAGTACCAGAGAGCTGCAAAAGTTGCCTCGTGCTTTTATGTATTTGCTGTGTTTTGATCTGTAAATGGCTGTGGTTCAGTATAATGGCTGACATTAGTATTTCAACTAGTTCAGATGACAAAAATTGTTTTCATCTGAAGTTGCCATTGCCGTGATTGTTTCTTGCGTCTTTACTAGTTACTTTTGTGTAATGGAGTCATAAGAAATAAGCAGCCTTCTTCTGTCACAGCTGGGACAGGGCATTATTATTTTCATGTCTGAAGGTCTAAAACAGGGAGGCATTTCACTTCTCCCACTAAGAATTTTTTTTCCTAATAAAAAAGAAATTCTGATCCACGACAAGGAAAAACTATATTTTTCAGAAGGAGCTTTCTAATGTTTATAGCAGAAGAAGGATTTTTAATTTTTCTTTCATTTTTTTTTAGTGAGTTGACAGCTTTTCCACCTGTGAAAAATATGGGTCATAGCTCATTAAGGCATGAGCATGTTTTCTTATGTTACTGCTGCATAAGTTTTTTCTTTCTGTCTCCCAAAGAGCTTTGGCTTCTGTTTGTGGATTGACAGTTCTGGCAATAGATGCTGTTTGTAAACACAGCAGCTGTAAGAGGCTCTGCCTGATTTACCCATCTCTGTTCAATGCTCCTCTGGCTGTGAGAAGTCCATGAGTGAGTGCCAATGCTCCAGTCACTAGAACTTCACAGTGAAGTGTCAGTACGTCGTCTGTGGTGTTTTGGGTGAGGTACCTGCCCATACAAACACTTACATAATGGAGAGATCACTTTCTGGTTGCCTACAGGCTGCCAGAGAGTGCATTAGAGCTCTTGTTCATACCTTAATGTTCTCATTGTGAATGCCAGAGTTGGAGATAGCCTGGAATCGCACGGCCTTGTAGCTGATTTCTGCAGTCAGCTGCTGGATGATTTTCTGCACCTCCTCCACCGCTTTGGAAACCAGGTAATGCCGCCTTTCCACCTGTCAGTTCCAGGAAAGACACTTCATGTTACAGGTAATTGCAGTTTTTGTCTCCAGTGGGAAGCAAACAAATCAGCTTAAGGCATCCTGAAACATTTGTGCTTGTGCTGCACTGGGAATAAAAACTGTCCCCCTGTGTATTGGAACCAATTTACCGTGAGACAGAGCTGTGAACACCAAAGGGTCAATATTCAAGACTATTAAGCATTAATTGATATTTCCATGCCTACACCACCGGATGGAAGGAAAGGAGTTCATTACACAGACAAATTTGTTATCAACTACAGCTACAGTCTCAATTCTTCATCCATTTGATGCACAATACCCGTTACTCCCCTGAATATGGTAGCCATTCTCAAAGTCAGGATATGTTCCATTCCAAGAGATGACAGGACATCAAGAGTTACACATCTGTCCATAGCCAGGTGGTAGATATATGTGGTATCATTCAGATGCCTACCTTATACACTGAAAGTATCCACACTGTCTTTGTGGCTGAAGTTCAGATGAGACTCTACTCCTAGACAGTGTGAAAGCATCTTTCCAAAGCTGGTCCCGTTGGGAGCTAGGTGTTTGTGTTGCTTAAAGGGTAGTTCTTCAATTCAGGAAGTAGTAGCATAATGAATCATTGAAGATTATTTCAGTGAAATGTGTGAGTCTTGGGAGAACTGAGGTGAAGGGTGGACAACTCAGAAAAATATAAGATGAACTTATGACTAAAAATGAAGGGAGCATAGGGGGACTGTCACAATCTGAACAAGGAGATTCAACAAGAGGAACATGAAGGAAATATGTTAGTAAAGTACATTTAATATTTCCCAAATATCCTTACACATTTACCAAAGTGAGGAGATTCAGCTACTGTTAATGAAGTTCATGAACATATTTGTCATTACTTATGCAACCAGAATTACTTATGCAGAGTGAAATATTAAGATGTTTACTGTTCATTTTTGGATCCTATGCTTCATCTCATTTGGTTGCAGCTTTTGCTTTCTTCTTGATTCTTCTTTTTCCTCACCATATTCTACCGAAACTTATTGTTTGCAGGCAGGAAAAAAAAATCAGGAACAGAGTTCATCACTTGGCTAAAGTGAATGATAAAGCATAAAGCAATGATAATGATAATAAATTATAATTAATAAATGATAATAATGATAATAATTAATTAATAATGATAAAGCATTTGCCAGTCAAACATAATTGCTACAGTCTTTTGTTATTATCAAAGACCAAAAGGAAGCAAAAGCCTAAATTAAAAATTCTGTATTGTGACGGTGGTGAGGCCCTGGCAAAGGTTGCCCAGAGAAGCTGTGGATGCCCCATCCCTGGAAGTGTTCAAGGCCAGGATGGACAGGGCTTTGAGCCCTGGTCCAGTGGAAGTTGTCACAGTCCACGGCATGGAAATTGCACTAGATGATCTTTAAAGGTGCCTTCCAACCCAAACCAGCCTATGGCTTTCTAAAATTCCTGTGTCCTGTTCACTCAGCATCTTCTTCAGCACTTGAACAACTCTCTTTCCTCTTTTAAAAAATATCATTGACAAGTATTTCTTTAAAAGTCCTTTTGGACACCTTTATGCCAAATGTTGAACTAACAGCCAAAAACACTCAAGTGTGTTGAAATGTGTCCCCAGAGCCTGGAAGGACACATTCACTTCTTCACACAAAGGGACTATTCAATGGACTAAAGTGGACTAGTGCTTGCCTTACATCCATTAACCCACGAACAGCAATTGACTAATACTGAACTTGAAGATGAGCAGAGTTTGAATACCTTCCTCCCTCAGACAACAAAGTTAATAGTACTTTTACTAAGCCTGAATAGCTTTTGGAAGTGGGAAATATGTCAGACAACAGCACCATACTCCCTTGACTCATCCACCCTTGACATCCTGTTTCTTTGCTACCTTAACACCATGTAGTCCTTTACTTTTATATAATGCCCTTTAATTTCCCTAGTAATTCACCGTCCTCCTCATTCCAATTCATCCTTTTCTCTAAGAGCAGTTTTAGCTACTTACATGTACTAAAAAAAAACAAAAAAAAAACCTACTAAAAAATTTTAGCCCATGTTCATTTTCACCTCCTCATCTCAGCTTTCATTTATGGCACTTCTCCATCTGTATCTATACTGTATCTATTTTCTCCACCTTATTTTTGTTCATCCAGAACAACTCCTTAGAACAGTCCAATAAGCTTGACAGGATACCTAATGGTTTCTTCAGCCAGTGAATGGTGAGTGGCAGAGAAAGTTGTCCATGTCTAAGACCTTTTAGACAAAAAATAGACTTTTTTTAAACTGAAAAGTATAAAAGGATACAGTCTCACAGTGGGTCAGCTCAAACAGAGACTAGAGTGCCCTGTGTATGCATTGCTCATGCTCTGTTCTCTCTAAGGGGCACCTGCTGGAAACATTTCTTGCCACCTCCAGTATCCAGGGAGAATCCATTCAATCCAGCCTGGCCTCATTTAATTCTGCCTTCATCACCTACTGGCTAGGCTACAGCAGTTGTCATGAATTCTTTATAAGAGTATGCACTAAAAAAAACAGTTGAGGGAGTACCACTAAACTCCACTTTCCATGGGTACTCCCCATCACTGGAGCAGGGATTAAAGAACAATGGGCATGTGACTGACAGAGGGTGCTCACTATAATTAGCTAACTATAATTAGCTCCCTAGTCATCCTGTTGGAAAATATAACCTTCCTACAGAAGGGAGGGCAAAAAATCAGAAAACAGAACGTGAGTCTGAAGAGCCAAGGCATTTATCTTAGGTACTTCTAGTACCAGCACAGACACACTGGGAGAAAAGACATTGGAAGGTCATTGCTGGACAGTCACTTCTGTGACTCACTGGCATTCCCCTTACCAGGTCTTAGGGAATTGTGCTAAAACAAATGCACAAAACCTGAATAACCAAGTCAATTAAGGTTTTATTAAGGAGAAAGGAAGCAGGATTGGGATTCATTAGGAACTGCTAAGAACATTTGGGTTTTCTCTTATTTACCCAGCCACATCCACTCCATACACATTTGATTTTTTCCTTTGATGGGTGGCTTAAGGATGAAATCTCTGGTATTACAGAGATTCATTGCACCAGGTGGTTGACCTGTTTCCAAAAACAGGCAGCATTTGATAAGCTGAACTGCCTGAAGTTGGACAAGAGACTCAGGAGCAGGCAGAAACTAAGAATCCATCAGAGCTGGAGGGCTCCTAGAAAACAGACTTCCAGTATAACCTAAAATATTGGCAACTATGAGCCTCACTTAACTACAGTCTGCTTCTGTTCCTTGTACTTATGGCTGTCATATGAGCATTTTCCTGTGCATGGCTTCCCTCTGTTCCCTCCTTTGTAGCTCTTCTTTTTAAATCTTCAGAGAAGCATTCACTGTTATAGCTCACTGAACAGATTCACATGGAATGATTTTCCTGTGCACAACACTGCATGCCTGAAGAAGGTGTATTTCTGGGACCTCTTTTATACTTGCCACAGAGAAAACAAACCTTTCTTACCAGCCCCTTCATTGTACTAAAATACGTGATCCTTTACAGAAAATAAAGCCTCACACTTTCTCATTTTGAAATTATTTGTCACGTTGGTATCTTGCATTTTGTTGGGGAAAGCAGACTATAAAACAGGATCTAGCTAAGTACTGCCATGAAACATGTCAGCTTTAAAAAATGTTATGGCTCACTTAGAACTTTTATTAAACAGTATTGTTTCACAGAAGATTTTATTCTGTTTTATTTCATTTCATAATGGGGGAAAAATTGAGTGTTGGAATATCTTATAAAACAGAAAATGAGATTCCAGTCTGCATGTGCTAATGAGACATGTTATTTTAATCATGATATATAGAGAAGTATCCTAAGCTGAGGTGACAGACTGATGACTGAATTCTAACAATATTGGTCTGTCTCTGCAGTTCCTACATGAATCTTTCTTAGAGGCAATGCCTGGTGTCGGTCTTGTTTTGGTCAAGCCAAGACCGGGAGAGAGGCAAGGACACTTCCTTAGATTGAAATGCTGGCAATTACAGCTAGTCTCACATCTGGAATTCCAGATCAGGAACAAAAATTCAGGATACCTAGGAGAAGAGGACAAGCACCTTGAAAAATTAGGCTACCAGGAGATAAAATTCTGCAACAGAAACCTAGAAATCTCATTAGAAATACAGCTCTCATGAAACATCACCCAATCTTGTCTCTGAAATGAAGACAGGAGGCGAGCAACTAACTGTTAAATTTGGCACCCTTCAGAACCAACACCTAGTGTGGGAGACAGAAAATCTGGTCAGATAAAGTCTTACCTTGCTCTGGATGTAGATTTCTACATCTTCATCTGTGAATGGTTTCATGGCAAGATGGTCTTCGCTGCTCTTTAAAGTGTGAATTCACTCTTCACTTGTTCACCTGCCTCTGGAAGTAGAGGAACACTCAGAGAGAGCTGCTCAGAGCCTTCTTGCCCTGTGAAGCTCAGATCACCTAATATCTCTGTGCTGTGGATGAGTAAGAGAAGATAGAAGCAAGGAAGCATGCCTATTTTTAATAATTTTCTTTGTGGTCTGAGCTACAATGGTGACATCCAGATCATTCAGAAAACTATCTCCAAATATTATTCTCTAAGTTCAATTATTATTATTCATCTTACTACTTTTAAATGGTGGATCTTGCATGCAGGCATACACAAAAATATCCCAGCAACTGCTCTGTGTCAGGGCAGATCTGGAAGTGCTTTTCAGATTGCAGTGCAGCCCCAGTACATTCATGCACAGCATTATCACTCTGCATGCCACTTGTACGTCCCTGCCTTCACTACACCCTTTCTTAAATGCTCTCAGTTATTCCTTGTTGACTAATCCACTCTCTTTCCATCTGAAAACGCATGGGTATTTTTACACTCAGATCATTCACTGGGGTTGCAGTCTGCAACCCCTGTTCCCCTCTCCTCCCCTCTCCTTTTATCTCCTCTCTCTCTCTGGCTGTATTGACAGTAAATATTATACAGCCTGTCCCCTCCTGCAGCTTGCTTCGCTTTCTTTACAGTAAACACACAGAAAGCTGCCTCTCGTTTTCTGCCAGCAGCTCAGCTAACAACCCCATATGGATGATTCAGAGGCAAAAACAATTGATCAGGCCTCATTGATCCAGTGAAGCTTGGTGGCTTTTAGAAAGAAGGGTACATCGGCACATGGAAGGGAGTGACAGAGTATAGAGATGAGATCCCACGCTGCTAAGCATTCCTTATTAAGGAAGGCACACTCCACTTTTGGGTAAAATCACTATTGCCCCCAGGAAAACGAACTTTGACATCCCTTGACCAATTTACTGCCTCTGCAGCAGCTGGCAAAAGGCAGCACCTGGGTGAGCACTGGGTGCTACTTCAGGAGAGGCACTGTTGTTGCTAGTTATCCTTCATTACGTCCTTCATTAAGTCAAATACGAAGTACATTAATTTAAGTAAGTAATTGGAGCACAAATACCTGCAGGACATCTGCTTCCCCAGCACCTACAAAGCAAACCTTTCTCTGCGAGACAGCTGCCATTGTCTTTTTGCTGAGGAACTTGAGCACTCCTTCACAAAGACATGTGGGCATTTACTTCCCAAACCAGGTTCCACTAGATTGGGCACTGAAAAAGATTTTCTTGGTTCCCTAAAGTTTAGGGACTCATACCACGTTTTTGCTCACTTCAAGACTTACTGGATATCTTTCCTCTGAGGGGCCAGCAGTTTATGTGAGCTCTGCTAGGGAAACCAGATAAAAGGCAGGGTCTGAAAGAAGGTAAGTGGAATAATAGGTTGGAACAGAACTTGTAGGGGCTGGTTGGATGGGATTATATCCAAGTAGAGTGTACAAGAGAGGAAAATTAGCCTTTTAAATGGTCAGGTTCCGTTATTAGCATGCCCCTAAAACATTAAGTCCCTTGCACCCCCTCAGATAGCCCACTGCACATACAGCAGATAACTTCCTTAACACTCTTGACACCACCACACATTAATACTCAGAACCTCAGATGTGTATTATGAAGCAAGGAGAGATTCAAGGGTCTCTCTCTTCTGTAAGGTCTCTCCTCGTGACAGCTGTCCAGAGACATGGTGCTGGCAGAGAGATGAACTGGTTTTGGTAATTTTTCTTCTATATAATAACATATGTTCATAATCCATATTATTATAATCCATCCATTGTTTCCATCCTATAAGTAGCACATATTATGCTACTATTTGGCTGACAGAAAATACTACAACTGATAAAGGCCTTTACACCACCAGCAAACAGCAAAATACAGGTTAGAGTGGTATGGGAGGCAGCAGCCAGTCTTGACCTCACAAGAACTTGTGTTCATCACATGAGGACCAAATAGCATAGAATGCAGCAGAAAAGTAGAGGCAGATGGTCACGTGTGAAGAGGGAATCTTACTGTGGGAAAAGCCTGCATCAGAAGGAAAGAGTAAAGAGAAAGGACAGAGCAGAAATCAGAACATCTGCATAGATAAAAGCGGATGTAGACACAAAGTGGGAAGAATCCAGGCTTCTCCAGTGAGGCATACTGAGCTGATATAGTGGTACTGCCGAGAAACCTCCACCGGATGGGTCCTTCTCAGGAACCTTCTACCATGACAGTGCTTGTATAAAGTAAGACTAAGGTGGAGAAAATCTGAGATGGATCCAAGCTCCAAAGGCTGACAAACACAGTCTCCTGAGAAAATATTTCCTCTGAGCCTACAACAACTTAATTCCCCAGGCACACCGGCAAGAGGGAGTGAAGAATGGCTATTTCTTTTTCCTCGCTCTTCAAGAAGCACGGAAGGAAAGAAGGAGAGCATCAAGAGGATGAAGCCAGGCTCTTCTCAGTGGTTTCAAGCACCAGGACAAGAGACAATGGGCAGAAACTAATGCACAGGAAGTTCCACCTGAATATGAGAAAGAACTTCTTGAATGTGGGGCTGATCAAGCAGTGGAACACGTTGCCCGGAGAGGTTGTGGAGTCTCCCTCACTGGAAATATTCCAGAACTGTCTGTATGCAATCCTGTGCCATGTGCTTAGGGATGACCTTGCTTGAGCAGGGAGGTTGGACCAGATGAGCCATTCTTTTGTGAAAAGCTCACAATGGCTTCATGGAGATAAAAAGCACTCTGCTGAAGCCAGGCAACCATGTGAAGACAAAACCACAAAAGGTCTCTCCAGTTCCAGTTAGCTCACAGTCCATCAGATATCATGAACATGAGCACTATTGAGAGCTTTTGGACTTGATTAATTTGGCAAATTGAACTCCCAAGTATACTTGTTTCTAAGGAGATTCTCATCCACACTGAGAATGGCTATCTTTTTGACACCTCTGAATCGCTTTCTTTTCTAGTGATTGTTAGAAGTGCCTTAAGCCCCTGCTAGGGTCTGGGCATATTTTTGAGAGACAGTTTCTCCAGACAGTTCTTGCTGAAGCACTGCAATTTTCCTTCCCTCTTTGGTGGTGTTTCTGAGAAGGTTTTCAGCATCACACATCTAATTAGCCAAACACATACACCCAAATTCTGCTTGAGGAACATCCATTGATTTATAAACTTTCAAATATTTTCAAGCCACACATCAATACTTTGCTTTTCTCAAGTCCCAGTTCCCTGCCTGCTGATCTGCGTAAGATCATATGGAATGACTCAGCTATATTACATCATCCCATTTATATTATTTCAGTTCCCATTTCATAGTACCTCGTAATGGAGTTCAGATGGTGGCTAATTTCCTTTGTACCTGCATCTTCATTTACTTAGCAGTACTCTTTTAAGAGGACTCAGAAATTTCCTAGTATCTGCAAAAACACTGAATCTGTGGTATATAATTTTCATTCATGCTGTTGGCAATGTGCAGGACTGAATATGATTTTGGATCTGTGAAACCCTTGTGAAAGTATTCTGTGAATATATGCCTTGAATGGTATTAGATTGGCTCTTGTACACTCTGAAGATGCCAATTACTGATGCTTTCCATGCTTGCTTGGCTCTCCTTTCTTCACTCTTCAGTTTCACAGATATGACAAAGACATTTCAAACCTACAATCAAAAGTAATATGAACTGTGAACTGCACAACAATAAAGAAATCACCAACATCTTGTAAATAAGAGCAGCAGTATTAACTGCACAGGGTTGTCCAATATTGTGCCTTTTTCTGTTGGGCAACTATTTAGAAAAACTATTCATACGGAACAGTGAGCATGTATTAAAAAGCCTCTGCTAAATCACACAAATGAGTCAGACCAATGTACCACTTGTGACTCACAGACGATCTGCAGTGGCAACAAATATGCCCTGTTGAAGATGCTGCCTTCCAGATGAAATACAACCCTGAAATTCTAGTTGCTAATGATGACCCATCTCTTCTTGCTCTAATTACCGGAGGCATTAAGTCTGTTGTATTAGCTGAAGCATGTACTTGGGTCAAGACAGACTACTAAACCAAATGATCCCAACAGATTTAATAACCTCTGACAGTTCTCTTGCCTTCTTAAACTGTTGTCCCGTTTCTCCCCATTAGTGGATTAAGTGACTGTGCAAAATGAGTAATTGTAGCTCGAATCCCCTATAACATTTATGCTGTGACAGTCGTTAGAACTGTTCAGTCTCCATTCAGAGGATAGCAGCATAACATAATCAGGCTTTTTGGGGGCAAAAGTTCTGGGAATTTATTTGGGTTTTCTTCCACTTTGTCTTTTAACAAGTTGATATGAGCAAAGGGGATACTTCAATGACAAATGCCTGGGATGGACTAGAGGGAAAAGAAAGTCCTGCTAATTCACTGTGACAGCACCAGAATCACACATGGGTGCCAAATTGAAATGCTTCTCCACTCATTCCCTCCCATTACCAATCAATACTTGGCAGGCTCAAAAATGCTCCAAATGCTTATGCTGCTTGTTCTCACTGCCACACGTTCTCACATTAGCCTTGGGCCTGCACTTCATATCAATTAAGTTAAAGGTTTATATCCTTTCCAAACTAAGAACAGGATTGGATCAAGTCCAGTCATTTATAAAACCTGGTATCTTTTTTCCATTCGTGGTCTTACCAGACACATCAGAAAAAGGCAGACAGCTTTTGCTAGAAATGAGTTCTCATAATCTGGGAAGAGATTTTCAACCCCAAATTATTTACAACCTGAATGTTTTCAGGCTGCAGTGTAGTATTTCCAAAGAACGTGATCCTGCAGGATCACCAGCTGAGGATGTGGGAAATTCTGAAAAATGCTGAGATTATAATGCTGCTACCCACCACTGACCAGCCTCAGCTAGGAAATTCATCAGAATCCAGTCCATTTTGCAGCTGCTGTTAAGCATCAAGCCACTGTGCAACAAATATAAATCAA